TGCAGGGCGCCGCCCAGGAGAACCGGGAGCTCAAGGCGCTGATCTCGGAGCTCGGGCTGGGCTACAGAGAGCTGGTCAAGGACGTGGTGCTGGGAATAGAGGACATGATCGGGGCCCTTCGCGGGGAGAACGCGCACCTTCTGCGCAGGATCCGGGTCCTGGAGAGGGAGGTCGCCCTGGGGGTGAGCTCAGATGCGGAGCGTCTGGGGGGAGCAGAGCAGCGCCCCCAGGGAGAAAGCCAGGAGGCAGTGGACAAGGTGGGGGCGGTGGACAAGGTGGGGACTGTAGAAAGGGCAGTGCAGGCAAGTCCGCCGTCAGAGCCGCTGACCGCGCGAGTCCATGGGCCGCCCTTGGAGGAGGACCCGGGTCTGCCCGGAGAGAGGATGGGCCCTTCCTCGGGCACAGAGAGTCCCAGGTGCGGAGCCAGGGCGGCCACTCCGTCGCCGGCCGGGAGAAGGGCTGATGTGTCCGGTGCCCTGCGAGGAGACCTCCACGGGATGGGAGCGAAAGAGGCACAGCTGGGGAGAGAGGAGGAAGGACCGCGGCGTTCTGCAGCCCCAGGGCCGGCGCTGAGGCCCCTGGGCAGCGGCCACCAGGTAGGCTGACTGCGGAGCTGCCTCATCTCCTCTTGCTAACGTTCTAGACTGCTGCCCACCCCCTCACGCATGCCGCCCTCCCGCAGCTCGGAGAGGAGACCAGGTGAGAGAACACAGGCCCCGGGGAGTCAGTGAGCAGCGTCCCAGGCTAACCTGAGCATCCGCAGGCCACAGAACCGTGTGCACGAGTCTCTCAGCATTCTCTTGTCACATGGACGGGTGCTCCGGCGTGGCCAAAGGGAGCAAAGGCACAAAGATATAGACCGAATTTTACAAAAAAATTAGTCCTGGCCAGTTTGGCTCAGTGGGTAGAGCGTTGGCCTGGGGACTGGTGGCCCCCTCTGCTGGGAGGCCCCACAGATTCCCCACCTCCGCTTTCCTGGGACAGGGCCCGACCATCCGAGCGGCCCTTGGGAGGAGGGGGGAGGAGCCCCGGAGTGGAGAGCGGAGGCCTGGGGGGCGAGGAGGACGCGGGACAGGAAGGAGGAGGACCTCGGGGAAAGCCAGGAGGACCCCAGCTTGAAGGACGGTGCTGGCGCCCTAGGAGGCCTGCAGGACACACGCGGGGCTTCCGGACGCCAGGCCGCCGCCTCCTGCTCTCAGCCCAGGCGGGACCTCCCTGTGCCTCTTCCGCAGGGGGAGGCCTCCATGTCCACGGAGGGTCCCTCATCCCTGGGCAGGAGGCGGCGGGCGGGACACAGGAAAGAAACATAGATATGCGGGCATGCGTGTATGTATGTGCACACCTGGATGTCTGCATAAATGCTCTTAAAAATAAAAATGTAGACTCCAGGCCACTGGGGGCAGCAGCATCCCCATCGCTTAACCACAGTTCCCACCGCCTCCCTCTCCCTCCCGACCCCTGAAATCCCCTGCGACACCCAGGAAAGCTGCTGGCGTTGGGCCCACAGTGTGAGGGACTGCTTTGCCCGGCCGCATGGCTCACCTATGAACCAGGAGATCAGGGTTCGATTCCCCATCAAGGAACCCCCCGGGGATGGGGGGCCCGGGCAGGAGGAGAAGCCGCTGTGTCTGGAAGGGTCCGGCGTGGGCTCCCAGGAGTGGGAGGAGGAGGACACCCTCTTCCTGGTGGGAGAGGGCGGTTTGCTGCTGTCCCCCACATGGGCCTTCCCGCCTGAGGGACCCCAACCCACCAGGCCCCCCAGGCCCCCACGTGAAGGACAGGACGGGCCTGCGCTCACCATAGACGCGTTCGCAGAGGAGATGGAGGCCTGCTTCCAGCAGCTGTCGGTCCTGAGGCGGGGGAGGGCGGGTTGGGGGCGGGGGGCGTC